AGCAGTGAAGGACAACAATCTTTGTGCCGGCGTGCTATACTCGAGATCTTGATACAGAGCTCGAAGGTAGCGAGCGCTGTATTATCGAAGCAGCTGATATCTCCATCCAATTAAGCTCGAGAGTGCTCGCGCTATTAGCCCTACGCTCACGTCAATGCACCGCATTGATTTGGAGTCGCTTATAATACGTTAATATCGTAGTACGACATACCATTTGCACGCATAAAAAACGGAGAAGAATACACGCTCTCGTGGTTCAATCTTAAACCAAACGGCGCGACGTTTTTTGTCCTACTTAAAAACATCTAATGCACATCGCTTTTTGCATTTTAATGCGGCGTGCCGCTTTTATAACACATTCATAATCCATTTCTGGCACGCGGAAAAAAAGAATTTCCATTAAGATCTGCGCGACGTCGCGCGGGAATATCCCGTTTCACCGTTTCAGCGAATTTTCATAAATTTTGGTAATACGATTCGTTTCGCTGAAATTCACACGCAAAAAGAATTTAAAAATTGCTGACGGAACGTAGAAACGCGAATAAAAAATTGCAGAAACGCGAAATAAAAGAAAACGGAGGAATGGAAGGTCGGGTTAGGTACGATTTCGTTTTTTTTCATCGTTTTCCTTCATGCACCACTTATAAACTGCTGCAATCTTAATATGCACCTGCACGGTTACTCATTAATGCATTTCCAACATAGATAACCATGCTATGTTGAGCGTTGCACGATAAAATCATTAATGTAAATGCGAGATCTGATACATGCCTAGCGATACATTGCCCTAGCGAGACGACGAGTATGACGACATTTGCTTGAGCGGCAAATCTATCTGATAAATCGAGATAGCCAATCTGATATATAAAATGCGGAGATTATCATAAAAATAGACATATGTGTAATTTATACAATTTAGCTTGCATAGCTTGCACCTCTTCTAGCGAAAATATATTTAAAGTTGTTGACATATTTGTTAACAAATAAGAATAAAAAATAAGTATGCCAAGTAAAATCGAAAATTGTAACAAATCTTTTATAAAAATAATTCAATAATCATAGAAGGCGAATTTGTGTAGGAAAAGATTGCAAATTTTTTTTCATAATTTTCAATTCTCCGATCGAAAAATGCAAGAAAGACGTATATATTTTTCAAACTTTAAGTTACCAATAAATATTTCCTAACTAAAAATAATTGCTATGACGCAAAATAGCTGAAGTTATTAAATATTCATAAATTATAAAAAAATACTATTGCATATTAATGCGAAAATTTGTAAAAAAAAATATTAGAAAAAGAATTAATGAGAGTTAAAACCTTATAAAAAGAACTAATGAGGCAAAAATTTGTGAAATTTGAAAAAATTTCCTTACAGCGAAATATATAATTTTTCGCAAAAGAAGCTCAAGAAGGCAATTTGTCTCTTTTTAATTAGTGTTAGATATCACATATTGATATATTGAGTGTTAGTAAAATACCTGTGCTGCTTGTGCCTCCCGAAGTTGTGGAAGTGGCTACCAGGTCGTCCGAACCCTCTGAGTTTTGGGGAGGCGTGGGTGTCGGTTCCGGAGGTGGGCCCTTAATGGGCGGTAAGGTTGGTGGTGGTGGCGGTGGGTGCTGTATCAGTGGACCAGCCGGCTGATAATACCCTGTGAACAAAAGAGCAGCGTGTGCACTTTCCTAACTGATCGTCCTCCACTTCTAATTTTCAATATTGCCTTGTAAAGCATTGTATGCGATCACGCTATTCCTTTCGTTGTAAGGGATATTTTTGGGCAGTAAATTAAAGAAGAAAAAAAAATCTATCTAATAAAGTACTCGAGAAACATTACATTTACACGTGATCACGTAAATATATCATAACGCAAATTTCGAACTTTATTACACTCATACGACAGTCAAAAGATCAATTTAAAATTAAATCTGAAATATAGTTATTTCCTAAAATATTTGACATTATAGACTCTCAGACATTTTGCAATATTTAAATCTCTAGATATTTTGCCAATCAATCGTTCAATCTCTACGTACGTATGTTATCGGTCGATATGACTTCTGACACGCGCGGTATTACGATATAATTCCTGCGATTTTAGATTTGCAGAAGTCGCGCTACGTCTGTAAAGTTTCAGATACGTTAAAGGGCGTCTATTAGTCTAGCTAATAGAATAGCAGCGTGAATCACATCCGTTGATAGGATAATGTCAAAGCGTTATACTTCAATAGTTCATAATCATGGGAGCGCGAGTAAATCGCGCTGAATCTCTTTAATCCCACTCATTCATATATATATATATATATATATATATTCACATTAGTGTATTTTTCAACACATAAAAAGTTACTAAAGCTTCAGCAGGACCGTCTTACGTGCGGGAAGTCGGAAAATCGCGCGTGTAAATTGTCGTAACGCTATAAAGCGTGCTGAAACGCGTCGCGATAGTGAATATTTTTTTTTTTTCGCAAACGAACGAACGAACGAACGAACGGACGAACGAAACCGGCTTTCTCCGCGCGAGAGCACACGAGTGACGTGCTTGCATATCGATTATCCGAAGAGATCGTTCGCCATTTACTTCGCCCAATCACGATTCCACTTTATGTAGGTTAAACGCGCCTCGCTCGTACTCACGCATGCCGAGGCGAGATGGGCGCAGCATCCGAGCGCGTTCGCGACGATCTGATTGGAGCCGCGTCGAGCGGACGGGGCCTCTCGCGATGGACAAAGCACACGAGAGATTATTTCTTCACAGTCGCCGCGGCATTGTATTTAATTATGAAATCCGTTATTGAAATCCGTGCGCGCTCGTGCACCATTGCGCTCTCGCAAGAATCCCTCTTGACGTGTGCCCGACCCGGTCGTTTGCTTTTTCTCAATTTTTCGGCAACGAATGACGTGTGCGTGATTTCTCGGGGGATGATTTTCTATGGGGTATACCTATGTCTTCGCGATGTAAAGCGCTTTTGGCGTATCAATCGTCCGCCGATAGAATCCTTATCTATATATATCAGTAGCTTGATTACTATGATTATTGTGATTATTGAGATTATTGATTACTGTTAGAAGCATATGTATTACAGGTCTGAGTATATTCTGTAATGTGTCAAGATGTAAATATGAGCGGATTAGTAACAGGTGATTAATTTAGAAATGAGATGTTTAACGACAAATTTTCAGCTTGTAACGAATATCAACCGCTAATTCGAAAAGGTTCTTTACAATTCAAATTTTAATACGGTAGATTTACAATTCCGATTACAGTGATACTTGTTTACGACGTGTTAACGTAAATTTACACGTTATGTCATATGTTATGCTGTATGTAATGCAATAACTGATAACGTCTATACTCACTTTCTGATTTTGTTGCGTAATTTTATCAAACGTCGTAGCTAAATGTCATAGCTTCCGCGGAGTACGTAAGTAGAAAACCAAGATTCGCGAATGCGCAAACTGAGCAAAACAACGTCGACTTTCTCGACGTATCCTTACCGGAGACTTGCATGCAAGCTAAGATAAAGAAAGACGTTATAACATATCAAGTACCAAATTTGTTAATGAACCGTAAACAATGACAGAGTTTAAATCGCATTTATAAAAGTAATGTTATAAGCGAATAAAATATTTGATAATGCTATAAACTCCGTATTTGCTATTTCTTTGTTGACAAATTAATTGCAATATACATACCATAATAATCATATATGTGTAATAAAGATAATTAGATAATCATGATAAAAACAAATACAGTAAAAAATGTTTGATAAATAAATATAAATGGAGTAACGCGAATGCTCTTCCGGATCTTTAAACGGCCTTTCGAATATGAATTTAGCATTAACATTCGTTGAACATTCGTTCCGCTGTGGATTGCGCAATTATCCAACATAGTTAGAAAATTGAGCCCCGCGTAATTTATTTTATTTATTAACACTTCACGGCTGTTCAATTTAATTGGCTTTCGTAAAAACACACAATTATTCACGTCGACACGTGTAGACAAGCCGCGAATCGAATATCGGGGCGTCGAAAGGCCAAAGTTGAAGACGAGTGCCGGTCTCTGTGAATGACGTCACGCGACAATCGATTGCCGTGCTTGCGCACACCGATACGGAGCAAGTGCCGAACCGCTGCCCTCGGATTCATTAACCATTTAATACGGTTCCTCGACAATCGTTGGGGATCACCGCAATTTCGCCGTATAAAAAATAAAAAAAACCTTCGCCATCGCAGTAACATCGAAAATATCTCCAAAACGTGATACATTTATCATGAAGATTAAATAAACCGAGTGATATTTCCACAACAAACTTCTGCAAAGAGTTATCTCAGAAAATACGAAAAAAGTAACAAAAGACATATTTTATTCAAGTCTATTAAATAATCGCGTTTTAACACGTTATACTTTTGACACGTTATATAAATACGATATATAAGAACGTAACAACTTCGCCAACATCTATCATGCAAATTTTGGAATATTTAGATTGTTTATTGATTTACTGCTTACAACCTCGATTTTAGATTAGAATCCTTCGTGTGTTCCACTTTTATCAGCAAGATTTTCTCACTTTAAAGATAACGCAAGAAGATGAATCTGGGCTCTTCGAGAGCTCTTCGCCGGATCATTCGTTTGCACAACAATCGCCCTGTTAAATTTAATTCAATCCGACCTTCGCTGCCACGCTCGCTAAGTACTCCAAGTTGCAGCGCAAGCGGCCGAGTTTCCCGAGTGAAACCGCGGCAAACATAGAAAGGGTAAACAACAGGTTACTAATTTACCCCGTATCGCCGACGATAGACGGAGAACGCGCTCCTGCACTTATTCGGGTTTAAGCGTTAAGCCAATTAATTTCGCGGGTGCGACGCGGGTGCGACGCGTCGGCGGCGAGGAGGTCAAAGTCGAAGACAAAGCTGGGCCAAGGATGAGCGTCGCGGGCGAGGCGCGACCGACTTGTGCATCGGCGATCTCCGACTTCGACGATGAGGACAACAAGAAAAAGACGGAGTAATCCGACGCACGGCGCGGGGCATTGTCGAGACGAGAGAGAAAGAGAGGGAGAGGGAGAGGGAGAGAGAAAATTCTTTCGCGGCCGTATCGGAACAATTCAAGGATACCGCGAGGACATCGTCTACGCGTATTAAGGTCGTCGGAACTGGTTCGGGAGCACGGAGATACGTCACGAGATACTCGCCCGCACGTATTCTCGGTCCATGTGGAGATCGTTCCGCGAGTCTCACGAAAAAATTGATCCCGAAGATCGCATCGCCTTTAGCTTCGAACGTGAGGAGATCTCGTTTCATTTTACTTTAACCTCTATTTTTTTTTTTTTTAATTCGCGAATACGCCGGAGTAGGGACTTGTTAAAATTGTCGTTGAATTTTTCCTCGCGTATTGTAGTACGAGTAGATAGTGGATTTTTTTATCGTAAGGAAGGATGGAGTCTCTTTTTGAGCTTACATTTTTCCGTTCTTCCCATACTCAAAAATAATCGTTTTTGCGAATTTGCTCACTGGCTGGAGGACCATAATTTCGATAATATTAATAATATTAACAAAGTACTCTCATTTGCGCGTCAATTGCAGATGTCCGGCGTGTCGAAATTTATTTACTATCGTCCAACATTATCCAGGTCATTAACGGCCAAATGAAATTATCGCGAGCGATGGCGCATTTTGCTCTCGTGGCTGCATTAAATAATCATAAATTCGCGAGTCATCGTGACGAAGGGCGTCTGTAGTAGCGGCTTGTTAACAAAATCGACGTTCAACATTACTGTGTGCGAGTGCAATTGAACTGGGATCTACACAGATTAATTGTATGATACAGACACACTCGGACCAATATTTGGCTAACTCGCCATTTTCAATCGACCTACACTTCTAAGCAATCAAATTAACACGAAACGTTGCTCAACTTACAAAACTCTGAAGAACGACCGACCGCTAAGTAACAAACGCTCTATTAAAAAAAAAAAAAAAAAAAAAAAAAAAATAATTCTAACGCTCTAACGGATTCGGCCAAATATGCCGAAGTCAATGCCATCCGGGAGACAAATTACGATATGGCGGCCGGACCTTCGCTCGGCGCGACGAGTGAGAATGTAAATACGAATGAAAATACCACGATAGCAATCCAATGGGCGCGTTGTCGCTCCGACAAAGTCGCTCCGAGCTGCGGCCCACACTACTGCCGCTCGTTTTATCCTCACGTATCGGCACGGCAAAAGGCTCGAACGGCGACCGGCGCTCGTAGCCTAGGGAAGTCAAGGACCCGTAGAGACTACGTAGGTGCTGGCGTAACGGCGGTGTCGTTGGACTCGGAATAGAGGAATATCGGGAGGGGGTCCTGGGCCCCCCGACGCTCGACGACGACGACGTTGGCGGCGTTGGCGCTCGCCGAAACTCGGAGGAACGAGACGTTGGATTGTCCAATGGATTCCCGATGGGACCGGAAATCCACGGATCGGAGATCGACGATTACGACGATGACGACGATGACGACGATGATGATGATGATGACGAGGGCGGCGAGGGCGGTGATGGCGGCGGCAGGTGGTAGGGCACGCGACCTCGGCACGCGATCGATAATTCGCGAATATTCGGCCCTTAACCGCTGTCATCCGATACGGGGACGCGAGGGGGAGG